AAGTAATCTGGAGCTTATTTCTTAGCTAGGTTAAGTAATCCGGAGCTTATTTCTTAGCTAGGTTCAGTTATCTGGAGCAAAGCTGAACAACACTAGCAGCACATTCCACATTTTTTATTTAATGCTAACCAAATTGTCTTTATTTACCTTTTTTTTCTCTTAATAAATTTCTCAATTGAAAAGTTAGCAAAGTAAAATTCACCACTAAGGTCATCCTACCCCCTAAGATAATGAACAATTTTATCATCCTCTGAGCAGTTCCAGCCCCCAACCCCACACTTTGAGAATCGCTGAACAATCATACAACATTCATAATGGTCACAAATTTGTCAGCTCACATTAAACAATCAAACATACAACATTCATAATGGTCACAAATTTGTCAATTCACATTAAACAATCATACAATATTCTTACACATCGCAAAGTTATTTGTCAACTCTAAGAATTTTATTAGATAATCTCATATGTGACACATCAAAAAATAAAGAAAGAAAATTTATTGGAATTCTTGGCAGAGCACTTTAAGCTGTCAATATTTGATTGTGAAAGATTCAAAGTGCACTTACATTTAGGGGGAACTATTGCTCATGTTTGGGATTTAAAAACATTTAGGCCAAACCAAAATGGCCCCTTTAAGAACTTTTAGATAGTTTGATGCATTTTAATGATAATAAAAAACATTCCACCCTTATCCATTGAGGACCAGACCATTAAGAACTAGACCATAAAATACAGATTAAAATCAAATGTATTTCATTTTCATTACCCCTAAAAATGTTACATTCCATTTCTCAAAAGGATGTAAGATTATAACTGTTATTTTAAAATTAGGATTATTCAAATAAGTTCATCTCCTGAAATCTGATCGATAAAATTGGTACCTAAATGTATTTGACTGTGATTTTAATCTTTGTAATCACAGTGTTAGAGAAGAGCATACAAGACTAAAACACAATCTTACTTTACAATAAAAAATCTTAAAAATAAATAAAGTTCAAAACTCCACTGCATGAATAAATTGAATGTATGTTACAAAATACAATCTGCAGGTGTTTTTTTTTAAAATGGAAACTAAAAAACAAATGAAAACAACAAAAATATGATTTTTCTCCTAAAATAGTGGTACCGGTATACAAAATTATTTCACTTTCTAAGATAGCAGTATACAAAATTATTCCATTTTCAAAGATAGGCGTATACAAAATTATTCCAATTTCTATTAAAGCTGTACACAAAATTATTCCAATTTCTATGATAGCTGTATACAAAATTAGTGAGTGACAGCGCGTTATTATATATTTATCATTGGCTGAGTGACAGGACATTATTATTAGACTATCATTCCGTAAGTGAAAGCATGTTGTTATAGGCCTTGCACTGGGTGAGTGAAAGTACATTACTGCAGGATGTAAGCCTATCATTGGGTGAGTGATAGCGTGTTACTAAAAGTATATCATTCGGTGACTGAAAGTATGTTTGCTAATATTTTCTTCTGTTGATATTGAAGTGGACTATTTAAATTACTTTTGTTTCCATCAATAAAGAATATTGAGATCTTTATGAACGTGTTTTATAAATTATTTTATTTATATATTTAAAATCTAAAATGTTATTAAAATTTAACTGAACTAAAATATAATGCGCCTGTTTTTTACTTTTGGTGTGCCAAGGAATTCTAGAAAAAGTCTTGATGTGCCATAATGGAAAAAACTTTTCAGGGACCTACCAACTGATGGTGTCAAAGTTTGCACCAGCCAACTGATGGTATCAAAGTTTGCACCAGCCAACTGATGGTGTTAAAATTTGCACCTATCCAACTGATGGTGTCAAAGTTTCCACCTATCCAACTGATGGTGTCAAAGTTTGCACCTATCCAACTGATGGTGTCAAAGTTTGCACCTATCCAACTGATGGTGTCAAAGTTTGCACCTATCCAACTGATGGTGTCAAAGTTTGCACCTATCCAACTGATGGTGTCAAAGTTTGTACCTATCCAACTGATGGTGTCAAAGTTTGCACCTATCCAACTGATGTGTCAAAGTTTGCACCTATCCAACTGATGGTGTCAAAGTTTACACCAGCCAACTGATGATGTCAAAGTTTGCACCTATCCAACTGATGGTGTCAAAGTTTGCACCTATCCAACTATTAACATATGTAATCAAATACTCAGCCCACAAGTAGGAAAAATGTTGTAGCAGTAGGGCGTGGCCTACAAGTAGAAATAGTGTTGTAATCCATGTAGCCCTACAAGTAGGAATAGTGTTGTAATCCACGTGGCCTACAAGTAGGAATAGTGTTGTAATCCACAAGGTCTACAAGTAGGAATAGTGTTGTAATCCACAAGGTCTACAAGTAGGAATAGTGTTGTAATCCATGTGGCCTACAAGTGTTGTTATTGACGTCAATGTCCAATACCTAAACTATTTAACTTTTTTTTTAAATGTCTCAGTGAATTTTAAAAAATACTCTTTTTGTAAATTTGTAGAGATCCAATAATTAACATTAAAAATATAAGTGTCACTCAATAAGTTAATCAGAGCTATAAATGGATTTCATTATGTCAGAGAATACCAATGCTATAAGTGAATACCAAATTTACAAGTGAATACCAATACCACTCGTAAATAACAACACTACCAAATACCAATATAACCAAATACCAATACCACCTTTAAATACCAATACTGGAAAGTACCAATGCTACTAACAGTCAAAGTAAAATAAAAAATGATTATTAATTTTAGTTGAACCCACTCTCTATTCAATGTATTTCTAGTTTATGAAACTCATCTTAGATAGAAGATTTTCAGTAACTTTATTGCTCCATTGAAAAAAACATTACATTTTATCAGTTAGCTAAAATAAATCACATACTTAATTTACAACATACACATATTGTTTACAACATATTCATATTAAAATTATTATCAAGATCAACAAATGGAGTTTATATTTAAATGCCTGCAACATTATATAATTTCTATTTGTTCCAGGGCATTACTTTGTATTCTCAAAAAAAATAACACAATAAACATTTAATCTTAGAATTACATCTTAAAATATGTCCTAAAATATTAAATTGTACCGCACAGGAAATTTCATATTTTTTCATGAAAATCATAATCCTTTTGAATGTTTAGTTCAGGCCTGCACAACTCAAAATGTAAGGCAGGCGCAATACTTTATGAAAAACTTGTGCAGGCTGAAAGAAAATAGGACATGGGGGGAAGCTATTAAGAAAATAATCAAAATAAAGAATATTTCGTTACTTTGCAGGCCGCAAAGTTGGTGCTGGCGGGCCATATTTTGTGCAGGCCTGGTTTAGATTTAACAAAATCAGCTTTTAGACAAGCTATCTGCAGTAACAGACAAAACAAAATCAGCTTTTAGACAAACCTTAATAGTTGTAACAGACTTTAAAGATTTTAATGAAATATTTACCACCAAAATAATGATTTCAAAATAAAGAAATCAAATTTGAAAATAAAAGCAATTATTATAAAACTTAATTTAATTCAGGACTAATAATTTATTTCAAATGAGAGCTTCCAAACTTAGCCAAACAACAGCAGTAGTTTTTAAGCATACCTCTTGGATTTATTATTTTCAAACATCTTTCACTTGCCAAGTGATCTTGCAGATTTTTTTAATGAAACACTACTTGATGTAATAGATATGCACATCATATCTATATCTAGGCGGAATGTAATAGATATGCACTTCATATCTATAGCTAGGCCAATTTATGTTAAGGGTAATCATGTCTACATCTATGCTAATTTATTGGTGTGTGAAAACAATACAAAGAATATAGAAAGAATCTAAATAGCAAATGACCAAGTTAGCTCAAAACACAGTTATTTATATCATATGTTCAAACAAAAACATCAAAGTTATGTGTAGGCTAAACGTAATAAAAACTGAAACAAATATTTGTTTACAAATAATAGCATTGGGTTAATTAATATCACTTTATATTACATGAGGTCATTTGAATAGATTGAAAAAAGATAAGGTGTATTCTGCCTAGGTCATATAAATAAACATTAAAAAGTTAGAGCATATATCACTAAGGATATTTGAAAAAAAAAATCTATTTCAAAACGTTTACTGTTTATGCCTAATAATGCTATACTCTCATTCATACCTTGCATATTAATTAATATAGGAAATATGTAAAACAAAGGATGAGAAATCCAGAAAAAAGGAATCAACCGAACAATAAATGTAACTTTCCTCTTGCTGTCCTTTCCAACAAAATAGTGAATGTAACTTTCCTCTTGCTGTCCTTTCCAACAAAACAATGAATGTAACTTTTCTCTTGCTGTCCTTTCCAACAAAACAATAAATGTAACTTTCCTCTTGCTGTCCTTTCCAACAAAACAATGAATGTAACTTTTCTCTTGCTGTCCTTTCCAACAAAACAATAAATGTAACTTTCCTCTTGCTGTCCTTTCCAACAAAACAATAAATGTAACTTTCCTCTTGCTGTCCTTTCCAACAAAACAATAAATTTTACTTTCCTCTGACTGTCCTTTCTAACAAGACAATGAATGTAACTTTCCTCTTGTCTTTTCGTACACTACACTGTAGCTAAGTGATTGTTTCAATTGTTATTTTGTTTTGACTGTTGTTTGTTCACTCAGAGAGACTTCTTGCTGACAAGTTCATTGTTTTGAATGGTGTTTGTTCTCTCAGAGAGACTTCTTGCTGACAAGTTCATTGTTTTGACTGTTGTTTGTTCACTCAGAGAGACTTCTTGCTGACAAGTTCATTGTTTTGAATGTTGTTTGTTCTCTCAGAGAGAATTCTTGCTGACAAGTTCATTGTTTTGACTGTTGTTTGTTCACTCAGAGAGACTTCTTGCTGACAAGTTCATTGTTTTGACTGTTGTTTGTTCTCTCAGAGAGAATTCTTGCTGACAAGTTCATTGTTTTGACTGTTGTTTGTTCTCTCAGAGAGAATTCTTGCTGACAAGTTCATTGTTTTGACTGTTGTTTGTTCTCTCAGAGAGAATTCTTGCTGACAAGTTCATTGTTTTGAATGTTGTTTGTTCTCTCAGAGAGACTTCTTGCTGACAAGTTCATTGTTTTGACTGTTGTTTGTTCTCTCAGAGAGAATTCTTGCTGACAAGTTCATTGTTTTGAATGTTGTTTGTTCTCTCAGAGAGACTTCTTGCTGACAAGTTCATTGTTTTGACTGTTGTTTGTTCTCTTAGAGAGAATTCTTGCTGACAAGTTCATTGTTTTGAATGTTGTTTGTTCTCTCAGAGAGAATTCTTGCTGACAAGTTCATTGTTTTGTTGGATTCTTTTTTCAGGTTTTCCCAAACTTTGTTTCACTTATTTCCTTCTACCAAACATGACTGCATTCTATTCCCCTTCTTATAGTTACTTAAGATGTATTGCAGAATACAAGCCTGCAGAGACAAAGTGACCTCGGTTTTTATTTGAAGAACAAGAGATAAAATGAAGGGCTTTGTGTGCAATAGGTTAGTGAATTACAAGGCGAACAACAAGAGTTAAAATGTACAAGTCAATATCAAGATAAAACATGTGGAGAAAATAAGTGCATTCTAGTCATTACAATGGCCACTGAGACACTTTCAGCAGACATTGAGTATCTTCAGTTTACTTGAATAATATTGACTTCATTCTGGCATTGTTATGAAACTAGATCGGCTTTAATATAACATCTGTGTATCTTTTAATGTTGGCCTTTTTTCTCTACAAATAATAATCTCATCATATTAAATCATGCCCAATATTTTAGTAACAACCCATCCAATTTATATTTTAATTTATTTAGTCTGGCCAATAAACTATTTCATAAAATAAAGTATATTTAAGCAAACTGGATTGACTGTAATAAATAACATTAAAATTTGCACTTCAAGCAGAATATACAGGTGTGTAACATGCAAACCAAGCTCACACAGCAACACACCTGTAGCTATTAGAAACCAAACAGAAAATCCATCTGACACAGCAACAAGCTCTTTGCTATTAAAAAACGAAGCAATGTCTTGCTATATCCTCAGCCCTCCGCCAATGACCTCAGACAAGGTCTGGTACTCCTGCTCGTCTCTTGTACGACATGCTAGGATACAGGCACTTATTAGTGCCAACAGCTAAATCAGATAGATTAAAACAAATTAATGTATTTATGCAAAGCTCAATATTGGACTAGTAGAGAGAACATTTAAAAATACTTGACATTACATGCATAGCTTTTATTTTATAGAGTTGTAGATGCAATACAGTTCTTTCAAATGCATCAATGACCAACGATGATGAAACATTTGTGACCCAGGAGAAAACTGGTCAACTAGAGAAACTAAACCTAAGCCCTAACACTAAAATAAACCTAACCTTAACCACCAGCAATCATCAAAGATTTGTGATCCAGGTCCATTAAAAAAACTAAACTTAACCCTAACCCAAACCTGCCCTAACCTAATTCTAACCTAACCCTATCCTAAACCTTACCCAACCCTAACCTTACACTAACCTACCCTAACCCTAGCGTAACCCTAATGAACAGCAATCATGAAAGATTTGTGACCCAGGAGTTAACTTTAAAACTAAACTTTTAAGCTATGAGGAACTTCACAAACTATTTTTAAAATAAGCAATTAAATGTATGTATAGATCAATACAGCACTAGTATAGTATATTTATGTATAGTAGAGAACCAATTTTCTAAACGCAAATTATCTGAAATGTCAGTTATCTGAACAGCCACTGAAATTTTCATTAGTATTATCATTGTAAGTAGAGACCAACCAAATTTCGGTTTCGGCGGCGAAAGTGGCCATTTTATCCCTTTTGGCCAAGTTTCAGTTTCGGCCGAAAGAGAAAAGTTAACTTTCGGGGTTTATTCGGTTTCGGACGAAATTGACTTAGACTTTCGGCCATGCGGCCGAAAGTGACGGAGGTTTTCGGTCATCTAATTCTCAGCAAAAGCGATATTTAACAACAAAATAAGCGACATTTAAGAACAAACTAAACGATCTTTAAGAACAAATTAAGCGATCTTAAAGAACAAACTAAACAATCTTTAAAAACAGATAAAGCGATCTTTAATAAAAAACTAAACTTTCTTAAAGAACAAACTAAGCGATTTTTAAGAACGATCTTAGTGATCTTTAAGAACAAAACAAATGATCTTTAATAGTAAATTAAGAATAAACTAAGCGATCTTTAACAGAAAACTAAATGTTCTTTAGGAACAAACATTAAGATCTTTAAGAACAAACAAATCGATCTTAAGGAACAAAATCAATTATCTATCAGAACAACTAAGCAATCTTTATGAAAAAACTAAATGATCTTCAACAACAAAATAAGCGATCTTTAAGAACAAGCTAAACGAATTTTAATAACAAGCTAAAAGATCTATACAAACAAACTAAATGATCTTTAAGAGAAAACTAAATGATCTTTAAGAACAACTAAGCGATATTTAAGAAAAAAATCAATGATCTTTAAGAACAAACTTAGCCATCTTTATGAACTAACTAAATGATCTTTTAATAACACAAACTTTTTGATCTTTATGAAAAAACTTAGCAATCTTTTTTTGAACAAACTAAATGATCTTTAATAACAAACTAAAAGATCTTTAAACAAACACTAAGCAATCTTTAAGAACAAACTAAGCGATCTTAAAAAACAGAATAAACGATTTTTAACAACAAGCTAAGCGATCTTTATGAACAAACTAACCGATCTTTAAGAACAAATAAAGCGATCATTAGCAAAAAACTGAACGATCTTTAACAACAAACTAAACGATCTTTAACTACAAACTAAATGATCTTTAAGAACAAACTAAATGATCTTTAAAAAAAAAAGATGTTATATTAGATGTTTATTTATTAATATTCACGATTATCTCATTTTTTATAAAAAGAATGTAAATGTTTATACTTTCTCCCAAAATTTTGGATGTATGTAGAATGTATGCGGGAATGAATTTCAAAATATCTAAATATTTCATTTTCGGTTTCGGCTGAAAGTCATTTTGACTTTTGGTATTTTTTCGGGTTTCGGCCGAAAGTCATTTTAAACTTTGGGTATTTTTTTCGCTTTGGGCCGAAAGTCATTTTAAACTTTCGGCCTATTTTTGCTTCGGCCGAAATCAGAAAATCACTTTCGGTCGGTCTCTAATTGTAAGTAAGGCGTACAGCATGGAATGTTACACAAATAGTGGCAAACAATTTCTACCACTGTCGCACAATTCAGGTAAAATCGAGATATCTTATATTGGCAATTCTGGGAAATACAGTTGGCATACTTGTACATTAAATATGTCAAAGAATACACATCTGCAAAGACGAAATGGCTTATTGTGCTGTCTGTCATAATGCACAGTACAATAAAGCATTGTCTGTCATAATACACAGTACAATAAAGCATTGTTTGTCATAATACACAGTACAATAAAGCATTGTCACTCAAACATGACCCAGCATATTTTTTGGGACAAATAGAACTTTGAAAGAAACAGTTGTTTTTTAAATATATATTGTTTATTATAAACAAGGAAGGAAGCCATAGAGCTAGAAAAAAAATTATAAACTTGGCCATGGAGCTAAATGGAATGTTAAATTTGGCCATGGAGCTAAATAAGTTAAATGCTAAACTTGGCCATAGCCCTAAATAAAATGTTAAACTTGGCCATGGAGCTAAATGAAATGTTAAATTTGGCCATGGAGCTAAATAAGTTAAATGCTAAACTTGGCCATGGAGCTACATAAACAAAATGCTAAACTTGGCCATGGAGCTAAATAAAGTGTCTAACTTGTAAACTTGGCCTTGAGCTAAAATAAAAATTGAAAATATTGCATCCCAATTTTTGAACATGTGAAAATGAAAAATTCTAAATCCATTGAAAAACAGCAAAAAAAACCAACTGTATGACCATACAACAAATCAGAAAATGTTTTTAAAAAATCTTAAAAATATGAGTAAACCATATCACTTGGCAAGTAGGCCCCCCAGTCCCAATTTGTTTCTACAAATTGACACTTTACTGAAACTGACATTATGACGCTTATGACGTACCTGTATTACGGCAAGAAATACAACGGATGATGCTATGTAGATGAGATTTGTTTGAAACTCCTCATTCAGTTCACTTAAACAGCCCTGTTGAATGTCAAATATGCAATCTATTAGAGTTAGTATGATTTTTGTGTTAGGGCTAAAGTTATGATAAATAAACTTCTAAATATAAATACTTCATTTAATAAAATAAACCACAAGGTTGATAAAAGACAGAATAACATTCAAACTATACAGATTTTAGAATAATTATTGGTTTAAACATCTAATTTATCCATACAAAAGACCAGATCAAAGAATATGAGTGTCCCTGACCCTAACAATAACCCTAACAATAACCCTAACCTTAACCCTAGATGCTTGAGTTCTTCCGCAAATATTCTCATTTATTGTTTTTAAATGTCCAAGACATTTCCCGCAACGGTGTCATTAATGAGCATCACAAATTAACCTGATGGAAAATTTCGTCTTTAAAAGGATTCAGCTAAAATTTGAGATTCTACCGTCTTTGGTTGAAAAGATTTGTATCAACAATAAGAAATTTATTTGATGGTTTTCTGTCACAAAATTGTTAAAGCAACAAAATTTTTCACAGCATTCAGGTGTGTATTTTTTTATTAACGCATTCTCAGTTTGCACATTTGTTTGAAAGAATGTCATTTATCTACATTGCTGTTTTGTATGAAGTAGCTTCGATTTCTATTTCTTAAACTTTTTAAGAGAGGATTTAAGTGATACTGATGATGATTTTAACATTCCCCATGACGTATCACTTCAGATTCTTCTTTTCGTGAATCTGATACTAGTCTTAGTGATACTGAAGTAGGCCTACTGAGGCTACTGTTTGGACTTCGAGCCAGGCCCGGCGGTTGGGCAAGGACTGACTGAATTTTAGCCACAGAAGCTACAGATTATAGATCAGAGCTAATAAAGTGTATAGTTTAACAACCCAAATCAGTTCCACAGTTCCTTTTTAAATGTTTACTAGTCAATAATAACTATTTTGCCTGATATTTTGTATTTTGTACTTAGTTTTAACAGGGGTCCAGTTTCTTATATAAATAACCTAAAATTACTAAAATTGCCTTCAGAGGTTTAATTGCAGTCAAAACCTTAGCAAACTATACATTTTCTGATAGATAAATGAATTGGCTACAACATTTAGAATTGTGTTTTAAGTGTATCTATAAAAATTAATGCTGTTATGAGCACTTGAAAGCAAGACATTTTTAAATTTTTATTTTCTTGAGAACTCCAAGGTCAAGGACATTGAGCAAAAAAATTTTTACGGGGTGGGCAATATGGCCAACTTTATCTTTACCCATTTACCTTTCTAAAAGTGTATAATTATTGGGGTCTTGCATCAATTTTTCTGTGTCATTTAATGCAATTTCAAAAGGCACTAAAAAAGCTCTGAAAAGCTCCACACCACAGAATGATGCATGCCACTGTTTGAGGGTTAAACTGACCATCTTTCAAAACTTTTAAACTGACCATCTGTCAAAACTCTACTACAGACTACACACCTGGTTACACTGTTACTACAAAAATAGTACAATACAGTCTCATTACAGTACAATAATGTCTCAGAATAGTACACTTGGAATTCCAAGCAGGCAAATTCTTTTACTTTTGCAAATATCCATATTTTTTATTAAAGAATTATAGTTCAATAACCAATTATTATTTGCTTACAATTGCTTTTATTATGAATATAGTGCAGGGCTACCAATATTTTCTTTCAAAATGACATTCCCAACTTTTTCCAAGTAAAAAGAGAAAGTTCCCAACTTTGTAAGCATGACATTTTGTTGAAGAATATCAAAAGAATGAAAAAGTACTAAACTGAAATGACATTTAAGACACCTCAAACAAATCAACCAATTAAAGTATACACATATTTATTAACATTTTTTTAAATTTTCAAGAATGAAAACCAAACCCAACAAAAACTGTGTGTTAATGATTTAACACAACTGTCACACAAAACCAACAAAAACTGTTTGTTAATGATTCTAAGACAACTGTCACTGAACTGTCACACAACCACAACAAAAACTGTGTGTTAATGATTCTAAGACAACTGTCACTGAACTGTCACACAAACACAACAAAAACTGTGTGTTAATGATTCTAAGACAAATGTCACTGCACTGTCACACATGTGTTAATGATTCTAAGACAACTGTCACTGAACTGTCACACAAACCCAAAAAAAACTGTGTGTTAATGATTCTAAGACAACTGTCACTTAACTGTCACACAAACCCAACAAAAACAGTGTGTTAATGATTCTAAGACAACTGTCACTGAACTGTCACAAAAACCCAACAAAAACTGTGTGTTAATGATTCTAAGACAACTTTCACTGAACTGTCACAAAAACCCAACAAAAACAGTGTGTTAATGATTCCAAGACAACTGTTACTGAACTGTCACACAAACCAACAAAAACAGTGTGTTAATGATTCTAAGACAACTGTCACTGAACTGTCACACGAACCCAACAAAAACAGTGTGTTAATGATTCCAAGACAACTGTCACTGAACTGTCACACAAACCCAATAAAAACATTGTGTTAATGATTCTAAGACAACTGTCACTGAACTGTCACACAAACCAAAAAAAACTGTGTGTTAATGATTCTAAGACAACTGTCACTGAACTGTCACAAAAACCCAACAAAAACTGTGTGTTAATGATTCTAAGACAACTGTCACTGAACTGTCACACAAACCCAACAAAAACTGTGTGTTAATGATTCTAAGACAACTGTCACTGAACTGTCACACAAACCAACAAAAACTGTGTGTTAATGATTCTAAGACAACTGTCACAATAACCCAACAAAAACAGTGTGTTAATGATTCTAAGACAAATGTCACACAAAAAAAAGGACAACAAAGATATTGTGGACTAATATCTTGACTCATATTTTAATATAAAAATGTTTGCAAGAAATCAAACCTCTGGTAGACAAAATGGCCATCAACTTTATGACTTCAGGTTTAAGATACAAGAAATCAACACTCTCGTAGACAAAATGGCCATCAATTTTATGACTTCAGGTTTAAGATACAAGAAATCAACACTCTCGTAGACAAAATGGCCATCAACTTTATGACTTCAGGTTTAAGATACAAGAAATCAACACTCTCGTAGACAAAATGGCCATCAATTTTATGACTTCAGGTTTAAGATACAAGAAATCAACACTCTCGTAGACAAAATGGCCATCAACTTTATGACTTCAGGTTTAAGATACAAGAAATCAACACTCTCGTAGACAAAATGGCCATTAATTTTATGACTTCAGGTTTAAGATACAAGAAATAAACACTCTGGTAGACACAAAGGCCATCAACTTTATGACTTCAGGTTAAAGATACAAGAAAAAAATGATAATACTAGGACTTGCCTGATTGAAAATGGTGTCAGAGCCCAGTGAAGGGTCACAGGTTTCATTGATATGTTTGATGGGTTTACAACATGACCTGGGAACAGTGTTGGTGTGGTTTACTTTCCAGTAAGTAGAATCCATCCAGTCTGAAGAATTGCGTACTCCACAGCATTCAAACTGAAAATAGTTGTTTATTATTCAAACAAAACTGTGTAAAAAAATCTCCCAAAATTCCACAAACTCTAAACATTACTAATATTGTCGCTGTAACTATCTAAACGATTCATCATCATCATCAGTGGCACTACAGCCCATGTAGGGCCCTGGCCTGCTTCACCACATCCTTCCACTCGGAGCGATCCATGGCTTTCTGTCTCCATGCTCAAACCCCCCAACTGGTGTAAATCTGTCTCCAAATAATCAATCCACCTAATCCTTGGGCCACTGGTGAGTCATCTGCCGGTATATAATTTTGGCTGCTCTCTAAACGATTCAGTCAATTTTTTTTTTAAAATGGGTTTTAAACATTTTATTAAAGATCTAGGGCAATGTTCCCTTTAAGCTGCGCGGCTGCAAGGCCGCACAGCAATCTCAAAGACGCCGCGCAGCAGTTTTAAGTACCGCGCAGCAGTTTTAAGTACTGCGCAGCTAATTTCCACTTAAGTGTGTGTTTTTGTCAGTAGGTTGTAAAATTTTGCACACAAAAAATTTGATGCTGTAAAATTTGGACACAACTTTATGATTTTGCACACGAACCAACAAACCTTAGAGGGAACATTGATCTAGGGCTTACCGATGCTGTGTTAGTGGAAAAAGCTTTTATTATCACATGATCTAACCAAATGCTTTAAAAGTTCATGTCACCTTAAAACTCTAACCACATAAGTGTTTAATAATATCTCTTCACATCTGGAGTTATGCATTAGTTTCAATAGCTCTCATACTCATCACGCTTAAAATCTACACGCGTATGTCTGGTTACTTGGATCAAGCTCACAAATTTGTGTCTGATCTGCAATGGTAAAGATGCTGGCTTATTTATAGGGAGAGAGCTGAGCATTTCTCGAACAAAGAAATTCTAGAAATTCCATCACCCGATAGCATTCTTTAGAACAAATAAGAACATAAAAAAACCTTTCCCATTCAAGGGAAATGGTGGGTAATGGTAGAGCACTACACATTTAAACAGTGACATCAATATCTTAAAAACTAACAGGAGGGGAGACAGGGAAAGACAAGTGGTGGATGCCACAGCGCTACTTGAAGCGAAATCAGGTCAACAAACAGACTTTAACAAACACTCTATACTTAATTGATTGATAAATTCCAACACCCATCCTCTGCTCTTATCTACCCATCCATTGCTTAAATATCTAGCCTCATCCATTGCTCTACTCTATCCCAAAAACAGGATAAAGGTATCCTCAAGTCCATTGCTCAACTCAGACCTGTTTACCCTTGAACTCCTAAAATTATACAATATCATCTCAAATCGTACAACACAGTATCTTAATAGTAAATAAATAAACATACAGTATAAATAATAAATACAAGAACTACTTGCATCACAGCGCCCAGTGGGATCAGTGGGATCGAGTAAAGCTGGCGCTAAAAAAGTTCACTTCTAAAAGAAGACCTATGTTTATGTTGCTATCTGCTGTCACTTTGTTTTGCAGATGTGTATTTGCTACAGATATTAATTTATATTGAGTGGACGTACAGAATACATTATCACAGTCTGCCACTGGTAAAAATAAAATGAAATTTAGCGTGGTTCAAACTTGTAGTCAGGTCAGCATTTAACACAATGTATTTTTTAAATAAGAATTTATTCAAAAAATTATGACATCTTTCAAACAAAAAAAAGACTCAGTGTAAATTAAGCCTATTTCCCCTAATATATTATAGTCTGATAACTACCACAAACTGTGAATTGGGGAGGAGTGTTGGAAACATATGAGGATATTATAAATCCTACTCGCCGCATGTCACTGATCAAAATATTTGTCACAAAATTACATCATACGACGAAGAAAGCAAAAGCGAGGATTGACTAAAATTGTCACGAAGATGACTATGCTAATTTAAAGTTGCCGTCTCTAGCGAGTTATGAAAATACCCAAAGCAACAATATTACCATCACCACTATTATTACGAAAATGTGGCAGTGTTAAGTTTATATACTAAAATATTGAGACCCCCACTCCCTGGCACACCCGAACACAAATCAACACCACCACTTTCCCCTCTCAGTGCAAACGTAACATTTAATCCCCAACCTATCATATTTCTTGATCTATTCACTGCTGGGTGTAGAGAGTAGGTTAAAACTAACAACCGAAAATGTAGTTTTTAATTATTTTTTAACAAAAAAACTACAGGAATATATATATTTTCAACCAGGTTCCTTAAAATTGTAGTTGTGACAGGTCTTGGCATACAATAGTGAAAGACACCTCAAAATTATACATTGTACGCCAAATTCGTAAAAGTAAATAGGTCTCTATCCCCAATACAGTACACAACTCTATCCCATGTACAGGGAACAACTCTATCCCAAATATAGGACACAGCTCTATCCCAAGTACAGGACACAACTCTATCACCAGTACCTTGGACTAAGCCCTCTCATATTTAATAAATAACATAAAGTATGTTAGGTACTGAGTGGCCGAGTGAGAGGCGATTTGCTGTTGGGATCCAGCTTAAAATCCTAGAAGAATAATCCCAGGCCTTTTTGATTTTCATCCTGCAAAGTCCACACCATCGTCACATTGTGACAGATGGAAGCCAGCAAAAAAAAAAAAAGTATGATCTAACACAGTCTGTATTGCTGTAGGTCAAGGACAGCAAATGTTCTACTGTAGAGAGATGTCCTATGTTATTTCAGTTCATTAGAGTTTTAAAAAAGCCCACCAGTAACTCTATTGTAAACCACCTAAAACACATTGAGTTTCATCAGATGCTTTGGCAAACCACCTAAATCACATTGAGTTTCATCAGATGTTTTGGCAAACCACCTAAAACACATTGAGTTTCATCAGATGTTTTGACAAACCACCTAAAACACATTGAGTTTCATTAGATGTTTTGACAAACCACCTAAAACACATTGAGTTTGATGAGATGTTTTGGCAAACCACCTAAAACACATTGAGTTTCATGAGATGTTTTGGCAAACCACCTAAAACACATTGAGTTTCATCAGATGTTTTGGCAAACCACCTAAAACACATTGAGTTTCATTAGATGTTTTGACAAACCACCTAAAACACATTGAGTTTCATCAGATGTTTTGGCAAACCACCTAAAACACATTGAGTTTCATGAGATGTTTTGGCAAACCACCTAAAACACATTGAGTTTCATTAGATGTTTTGACAAACCACCTAAAACACATTGAGTTTCATCAGATGTTTTGACAAACCACCTAAAACACATTGAGTTTCATGAGATGTTCTTAGAAAAGGTCAAACTCACTTAAGTTTGTGAAAATCTATGTAAATTATGATGCCATAACAAACCTAGTGGTAACAATATAATAAAGCATAGGCCTTTTAAAAATTGTTTTTGTCGGTTGACACAATAGTAATGTAGAACTTACACTAATGTTCTCCAAGTAATTTGACATTAAACCTCAGCTAAAATGATAAAAATTCACTTTGAATGGACCCATCAATTTTACTCATAACATCTACATATATCAATATTACTCATGTCTTGTACATATATCAATATTACTCATAACATGTATAAATCGGCTTGACCATGCCACTTAAAACTAAACCACCAATGAAAACCAAGTGAAAAATTGCATGTGATGTGCCAATAGAAAAGTTCCAATTCATGTGCTAAATACATACAAATTGTGTCACTTGGCGTGCATGTTCAGTTGGAGACCGCTAACCAGGACCATTTGGGAACTGCTTCTCTGTGGGAATGAACTACCCTTTATACCATTTCAATGGCTTATTGCTTAAGTAAAAATTCTCAACAAAAGAAATCCTTGCAAATAATACCTCTTTCTGCATGTAGTCAATCTGCTCTCTGTACACTGTTACATTGTAATTGTTAACTGCATCCAACAGGTTATCTTCCAGAATACCTTCAACCTATCAGGGAACAAACATTAAATAAAAACATTGAATTACCAGAAAGATTATAATCTATTTTATAAATGAAAACTACACTAAATGCACAAGCTCACATCAAAACCACCCCCAGTACATGAGCTAACATCAAAGCCACACTAAATGCACAATCTCACATTAAAATCATCTTTAATTTAATTTTAATAGAACCGGTTATTCTATAAACATATTTTTTAACAAATTATTTATATTTTGCATAATAATAAAGTTAATATTTAGCTAACAGTCTAGTCTCTTAGAAGATAATTTAGCAATCTACGAATGATGAAAAGAACCAATAGTCATTGACTCACAATAAGAAACTTACCTTTTTTCTGTAGACATAACCCAGAATAGCAGCCAGAATTTCCCCAACAAATACTGTTAGAATCAAGCAGAAAAACTGGGGACACAACATAGTTGATATTGAAGGAAAAACATGGAATAGAAAAAATATTCTCAATATATATAACTTATATCACTTACAGTTTATGATCCTCTATCTAAAGCTGATCTTTGGGAGTATCATTGGAATTTTCTATTTTATTTTAATAAATTATTTTCAATAAATATTCATTAATTAAATTTTTAAGACATTTTTTTTCCAAAAAGTCTTCTACAATAGAGAGACAAACCTCAGACATACCACTGAAAGAAGTCTTCTAGAATAGAGATACAAAGCTCAGACATACCACTGAAAGAAGTCTTCTAGAATAGAGATACAAAGCTCAGACATACCACTGAAAGATGTCTTCTAGAATAGAGAGACAAGGTTCAGACACACCACCGAAATAATTCATCTAGCATAGAGAGACAAAGTTCAGACATACCACTGAAAGAAGTCTTCTAGCATATAGAGACAAAGTTCAGACATACCACTGACAGAATTCTTCTAGCGTAGAGACAAAGTTCAGACATACCACTGAAAGTAATATCTTGTTATTCTTGAATGCAGCTATGCAAGCCAGTATCCCAACGATGCACATGAACACGCTGACAGCAAGAATAATACTGGCTGGAAGGAGTGTCAGTGAAGCATCAGCTATTTCATCAAAGTGGTCATAGGTGCTGAAAACCCATATTCCAATGTAGGTCAGTCCACCAGCTGATACCTGCAAATAAATTGTTATTCTAATTTTGATAATCCAATTTAAACATTGTTATTCTAGTTTTGATAAGCCAATTTAAACATTGTAAGTCTAGTTTTGATAAGCCAATTTAAACATTTTATTCTAATTTTGATAAGCCAATTTAAACATTGTTATATAGTTTTGATAAGCCAATTTAAACATTGTTATTCTAGTTTTGATAAGCCAATTTAAACATTGTTATTCTAGTTTTGATAAGCCAATTTAAACATTGTTATTCTAGTTTTTATAAGCCAATTTAAACATTGTTATTCTAATTTGATAAGCCAATTTAAACATTTTTATTCTAGTTTTGAAAAGAAAACATGTTTTTAAAAAACACAAAATAATTATCTTAATGCTCTCTTCTCTGCTTGAGATTATCTTAATGCTGCTCTTCTCTGCTTGAGGTTAATTGAAAAAGAAATATCTATAACTAACATTAATCTAAAGTTTTAAAGCCTTATTTCATTTTTTAAGAGCTGTCCATTTAGCTTTGCATTATCATTAACTATGATTAGCAATGGAACATTTTTATAAACATTGTACAATAACCTTATGTATTCATTCCAAAAACCCTTGACGTGATTAAGAAATTGAAAAAGCAATCCAGTCAACATACCAAATAACAGAGACCTGTGAACATAAGTAGGCCCTTGGCCACACTGTGGCACCACGAACTATTCCTCGCCATCTTTAATCAGGATTTCGAACCTCTCAACTCTTTAAGAATAAATAGAAATATATATTTTGGAAGTTCAATCTGCATGTATGCACTGTTGGGTGACATTTCATAATTTTGGATTCAGGCAAACTTATAATATTATAATATGTAGTGGATATTTTCGATCATTGAGCCTGTGATTGCAACTATTCTTTGAGAAGACAAAACTTTTGGAACATAATTATTGTAATATCTTGTAGAATATGCTGCTAATGTGGTTTTATTTCATTGACTACATATATTTAATTATTTCAATACAAAGGCAAGTGAATATTTATGTTTTATTAAATTTGAAAAGTATCATTTTGTGATTATCAGTCACTGATTTTAGGACATAAAACGAAATATATATATAAGGACATATATACAAGGAAAATTCTGACACTAAAAATGCAATAACCTTTTTTTCTTATTTAACAAAGAAATGTAATGATATCAATAGAGAGCAAATTATAAGCTCTTGATTGGAGATATGTTTTATTAATTAATATATACAAAATCTTAATTTGTTTAAAAAGAAAGTGCCTAGACAAAGGCATCATATTTTCCTTTTTTCTTTCATGATTTGTAACAAAAGGAGGAGAAGTGAATGGCTAAAATAGCGTGACAACATTAACTATGGATTGCCACAAAGTCAAGCTTATTTAAGCTAAGTTAGTATGTTCAATGTTATTTATTAAATTAGGCATAATTTTATTTCTTAAATTCCCTGTTCAGTTTTCTGTCAAGATTGTGTGAGCGGTATTAGTTTTGTCAAGAGGTGTCTCTCCCTAAACATTGACCATACTTTGGAGAATCGCAAGACTGGACTTAGGGTGACTAGACCCCTTGAGTTGACCTAAACGATGTATATCATAAGTTGCCCCTTCTTCATGGGGCTTTATTGATGTAATAAACTAAATCTGAAATTAATTTTTTGATTAAAATTCAACTTACAAGTTTCAAAATAACAAAAGAAATTCATCATTAATGATAAGACAAAATGACCCCCAGTGAAAGTTGCATGCCTGGCTAAAAGTGCTGTTATTTGATGGGTTGAAGCAAACAAAACCTGTGTGCCATTCATTTCAATCATATCATCATTTCCCTTTACATTTCAAAATAATTTGGGAAGGGTTCTAGACTCCTTAACAGACCCCTCACCACATTTTCAAGACAAAAATAACAATTTTGAGAAAAAACTGACATCAACTGGTACTTTGACATAAAATTTAAATATTGTCCAATTGTAATAAAGATAAATTATTTTAAAGGACTAGCTATAAGCTTTATAAAAACATCAATTTTATCTTATTAGCTTCTTTCGGGCTTTCTTAATGAAGTTACGATATTTTTTGGTGAATTTTAAAGTTTCTTATTTTTCTTTGTATTGAACTGCAAAAACGTTACCAAATTTCCAACTTTCTGCCTTATTTTGCCCCCAACTTATTTATTTAACCAAATTTTCAGGAGACATTCTCAATGCAGTATACAAATAAATGAGCAACAAAACTTACACATAACATGAAGACTTTTTATTTTTGATAATTTTATTTGAGGGTAGTTAAAAAATTATTACTTTTAGACGCAAAAAATCATGTGTTTATTACGTTTCAATTAAAAATGCTTCAGTTAAATTTTAAACCAATACTAATATTTATAAAGATAAGTAGAAATCTTTTTTTAAATGAAACTGAATCCATGAACTTATAAATAAAAACTACTAAAAGCACCCATAGGACTAATACTCTCATACCATTAACGGAATTTGATTAAATTTTAAAAGGTAATGGGGATGTTCTGCCTGTCATTTTCTATGTAGACTGCTCTTTAGACTTCTTGGCCTCGTTGATGAATCCACAATCTCTCCTTCATAAACTTTGTCTTTGCCATCTATGTCCAAACGTGCCTCATGTTATTCAATAAAAAAATAAAATTTTCTCTTGTATCTGAAATAAGCTTATAAATAGCATCTAATTATATTAAATCAAAATCCTGAATCTGCACAATTTGTTATTTCTTTTCAATATTGTCTCAAGTTTTGTATTTATTAAAACTTATTTCATTTTCATTTTATTTTATCATTTAAATTTATTATTATTAGAAATTACAAAATACATTAACAATTAATTAAAATTTATAATTAAATACCTTATTAAATTTAAAAATATTAATTTAAATTAGACCTATACGTGCAGTTGTAGTAATAGAATAGTATTAGTTTATTAAGCTTAGTTAACTTCTTAGACTTAGTACCGGTAACTAGAGAATTCCTTTCTTAGGTAGGCCTAAAAATATAATTATAGCTAATTGTAGTTGTAGGTCTAGAAACAGTAGGTGGACGTGAGCTTAAATTAAATTTTGTTTATATATTTAATTAAATTTCAAAGTTATTCCTCATCCAATTTAGATGCTTAGCAGCATTCTTCAGGTTCCAATTGTGGTGCAACTGCTAAAAAATTAATAATTAGATATTTACAGCTTACCGAGCAGTCAAAATGACATAGCAAAAAAGGGGGGTTCACATCTTTGGGAAAGTTGAATGCGCTTCAATGTAAGGCAAATATTTTACATTATCAATTACAAAATTAATTTATAATTAAAAAACTGTGGCGTAAAAAGCAGAAATCCAAGTTCACTGTAGAAAAGATTATAAAATGGCCACTAAAGTTTTTGCATCCTTTTTCGACAAGTGCAGATCATGTAAGCGAGTGAGTATCATGGTACCTATATATAATAATATACATATGTATATATGGTAAATTCACAGAAGAGATGCCATTTTTTTTTCCTGTAAATTTGGAGAGATAGTACCTCGGCCACCATCTTGGTTGCGGTGACCCGCGAATTTATGTCCTAAATGTATCCCTAAACCTAACCTAAACCATAAACTTATCCCTAACATGGGTTTTGACCCTATCGGAACCAGGGTTTTGACCCTATCGGAACCAGAGTTTTGACCCTATCAGAACTAGGGACAAGACACACAAATGACGTCAGGTTACTATCTCTCTAAATTAGCCTATTTTTTTTCCAATGGCCGCCATCTAGGTTGACAAGACCAGTTAATTCTGTCACTAAATCTAAGTAAATGTATCCCTAAACCTAACCTGAACCCTAAATGTATCCCTAAACCTAACCTGAACCCTAAATTATTTAGCCTAAAACTAGATACTTCGATGAAGAAGGGAGACTACTACTTTTTGTGTATCGGAAATAGAAATCGGCGCCGAAAAATCAGATTTTCCGATGTGTGTGTGTATTTATTATTAAATGAGTACTTCCGACATATATTTGAGTACCGTTTCCGGCCTTATAATTAGGTAGACATCTTGGCCTACATTTACATTGATTTGTTTTAATTTTTCAATCGACTTGTATTTTGAGATTCCCCTTTAAATATAAGGCATCTTTCACTATAAAATTCGTATAGAAGTTCAACTTTTATGTCTTTAAAAAAAAAGTCTTATTCTGTATTATCTATCGATGTGTATTTGTATCGATTCTCATTGAGTCAGGACATGTCGGTCACTTTTTTTTTCTTTTCATATTTGAGGGCCCACGATCAATATATTGATCATTTTTGGCTCCTGGTTTGAATTCAGAGTTTGCCTTCTCTTAGATGAGTTGCCTTCCAAGGCTGCCGAGTCCCATCCACCCGGGGTGCTTGGAATGTTGGCTTTGGTGGGCTGGTGGGGATTGAACTCCAGACCACCAGCTACCGGGATGGAGTCAGTTTAGACCGCTCGGCCATCCAGCCCCTTGCTCGGCTTCTTCAAATGACGTTTGGGATATCTTTTCAACTCAAGCTCTCAGTTATGTCAGATTTATATTGTTTGTAAATTTCATTTCAGTACCATAGTAGTTTTGTTATTTTTAAAATCACAAACAAAATTCTTGAAAAGTTAACTATAAAAACAATGGGCCAATGAAGGCTAAAATAAATATATCCAAAAATATAAATTTTTTCAAAAATGGATTTGCATCCAATGAACATACAAAATTAGCAGTGTCATGTAAACTGATCGAGAATCTCTTGTTGCCAGTCGGTCAAAGCACAAACAACTTAATCAGCATCCATCAAATGGAAATAATCCACGGATCACTTGTCTTAGGATGAGCCGGTTATCCATGACTATCTGTTGCACTAAGCCTTTGACTTGTTTAAAGTCCTCAAGACATACATTTTCTGGGAGCCTTTGTCTTGCTTCAGGATTTACAGCTAGAATTGAACAGGACATGTACAGTGCTACAAATGTCCCTCCTGAAAACAGTTCCTTGGGTGTTGGGAACTCATGAGCAAGCACATTACCAAGGAATGCGTAGGCGTGCCTGTAAAGGGCCTGAAACCAGTTTTACACCGTCACACATCGAACACCGGGCACAAACTTAAACAAATGAAAGCGCCTTGGCTCATGACAGGCCATCGTCCATGCCGCCAGCACAAAATGCTATGCTCATTTGAGTTAGAGTAAACCCCTGGTAATGTAACCCTTTGGGGTTTACTCAAGTGAGCATAACAAGTGACCGACATGTCCTAACTCACTGAGAATTGACGCAAATGCACATCGATAGCTAATATAGAATAAGACTTTTTTAAAAGACATAAAAGTTGAACTTCTATAAGAATTTTATAGTGAAAGATGCCTTATATTTAAAGGGGAATCTCAAAATACAGGTCGATTGAAAAATTAAAACAAATTAATATAAATTTAGGCCAAGTTTCTACCTAAATATAAGGTCGGAAACAGAACTCAAATATATGTCGAAAGGACTCATTTAATAATAAATAGACACACACATTGGAAAATTAAAAACTCAGATTTTTCGGCGCCAATTGCTATTTCCGATACACAAAAAGTAGTAGCCTCCCTTGGTTTACCGAAGTATCTAGTATCCCTAAACGGGCCCTAAACCTTACCTGAACCCAAATCACTGCAACTTTAATAAACGTCGTGGCATCCTATCCCAGTTTTAGCCGAATATACCAATGTCGCCACAATGCCCTTATTCTTAAATATACTTATTCAAATAATATATATTCTTGTTGGGTAAATTGTATGAGCGTCACCGTAAGACAAATATTTAATGTAATCGATAACAGAACAAATGTATAATTAGAAAACTGTGACGTAGAACGCAAAAATCCGAGTATACCACAGAGCCGATTATGAAATGGCTACAAAAGTTTTTCCGTGATTTTTCGACTGCGCAGAAGGGATGCGCATGCGTCTTTTAAAATACCTATATATAGGTACTTTGACACAAAATTTAAATATTGTCAAATTGCCATGAATGATACATCATTTTACAGGGCCAGCTATACGCTTTACAAAAACACCAAATTTCATTTTTCTATCTTTTATAGAAGTGGAGTTATGATTTTTTTGGTGATTTTTAAACACCCCCTTCTTTATCTTAGTATTTAACTGAAAAAACGTGTGACCCACTTTCAAAATTTCTGCCTTATTTGACCCAAAACTTTTTGATTTTAAAAGATAATGCTACCAAATTTTCAGGAGACATTCTCAATGCAATATACAGTACAATAAACAACAAAACTTTTATATAACATTAAGACTTTTATTTTTTTATAAATTTATTTGTGGGTATGTTCAGAAAAAAATTAACAGAAAAATTGGGAAAATCATTATTTACACAGGAAAAAACGAAGAAAAAAACCCCACTATATTTTTATTATTTATTGAATTTTAACTAATTTTATTATGCTTGTGTTAATTTTAAATCAATTATTAATATTTATAAAAAGTTAAGTAGTCTTTTTTATTTATAAAATTGAAAGTATGTAATTATAGATAAAAATTACTCAAATATCATCCATGATGATAATATAATGATGAGACTAATTCATTAAAAAAAAGTATTTTATATATTAAATAATTGTCTATGTACTGCTTTTCTATGTCCTAATAAAATTTATTGCTATGATGATGTTGTTTGATTCTTGTTTATTAATTTGATGTATTTTAATAAAGCTGTTATATATATAGAACTTATAGGCTTGTAATTGAATTAGTAAGAAAAATTAAGCTTAGGCCCAAATAGACAATTATAGGATTATAATAACAGTTGTTTATAATTATAATTATAACTGATAATGATAAGTAGGCCTAATTTTAGTAATATTCTCTGAAATAATTAATAAGAGAAAAATGATTATTATTATCGATATTACTCTTGTAAAACTATTAAATATTGATTCAAAAATGAAAAAAACGATAAACTGTATACCGGTACCGTACACAATTTTTAACGTAATAAATAAAACTTAAAACCAACCCTTGGTTACTACATAAACTTTTCAAGTTTGCTTATAATCTTTTCTTAAAATGATTCATTTTAAACGTCTTATAATTATTTACATGTTTAAGGATTTAACATTAACAAATAACAGTGATAGCAGCCATTTCCGGCTTCTCGATCAAAATAAAAAAATAATGCTAATTTCATACCCCTTACTTCTTCGCGGGTTGCATAACTTTTTATCGAGAGCTCAACGATAATAAATCAAAAAATGAAAAAACTTTTACAATGAATGTAGATTAGGGAGCACTAAACCTTATTTTGGGGGCCTTACTAGTAAAAAAGTATTTATGCGATTTATATACTAACCGAGTCATTATAATAATACTGCCCGTGAAGCAAAAAAAATATCGTAGCATAAATCAATATATGACCGGAACACAAAAACTGATACGTCAGTGATGAGGAAAGCAATTATTTAATAAACAAAGGTGACGTAGTCTGCAATTTTCCAATGATATCGTGTAGCTGTACGCCGTATTGCAGAACACGTTTTTTCGACATTTTAGGACATGCGCAGAACGGTGCGTGGACAAGTATTGTTATCCCTACTATATATATTTTTGTTTTTCATTTCATTGATTATGATTGATTTCGATTTTTAATGAATTCATTAACAGATTGCAATGACTACCAGCCAAATGAGTCATAGTGTAGTTTGTATGAATAAATACATATTTTTTAGAAGATACACAATCTATTTTTGTATGTTATTATTAGATACTTCGATGAAACAAGGGAGACTACTACTTTTTGTGTATCGGAAATGGGGCGTCGGCGCCAAAAAATCAGATTTTTTAATTTTCCGATGTGTGTCTATTTATTATTAAATTAGTTATTTCGACATATATTTGAGTTCCGTTTCCGGCCTTATAATTTGGAAGACATCATTTCTAGCCAGCTATTTTGCTTTTTTCAATCGACCTTTATTTTGAAAATCTTTGGAATATATAAGGCATCTTCGCATACAAAATTTTTTGTGAAATAATAAGATAAGGTGCTTTTTGATTAAATCTGTATGAGCATTAGATATTGATCTATATCTGTGCCAATTTTCATTGATGTAGGTCGTGTCTCACATTTGTTACGCTTGTCACAGTGACCCATATCACCATAAGGTGGCTCAGCCTAATTTCGACATGGCGTGGGCCACGCCCCGTTTTAAATGGCGGAAGTTGCCGATACTTAGGAAATATTTAATTATTACCACTATATACATCAAAATATTTTATATTTTGTGTTTCAGAATGCATTTTGAAGACATTTAAATTGGAATGTTTTAAGTTGAGCTTTAAAAACCCTGTAGAGTCCATATTATAAATGATCAGAATTTTCCCTGTGCAACACATTGTCATTGGCAACCATTCACAGCCACTTGCATAACGGCTATATCGTAGTACTATCTCAGAGTTTCATTCATAAGAGTTTGCCATAAGCAAAAGCTATTAAACCATTGGTCAGGGAAAGCTTTAATTAATTATTCATGTGCCAAAGTTGAAAGTTTAAAATAAGTGGACCCTAAACAGTATTTTAGTGACAAGGGAATGCGTTGCCTTAAATAAACTATATAGTGTATATAGTCATTGCGCATGACGCTATGAGCGGAATGAGGTCACAGAATGTGGAGATGCAGTCCTTGTTAAAAAAGGACAAACCAAGTCGTACTTTAAAAATTCATAACTTTAAAACTACAACAGCTAAAAATATGATTTTGGTGTTATAATTCTGTAAAAAATTAGCTCTATTCAACTGTGCCTTTGGTTTATTTTTACAAAATGTTTAAATTTTTTACCAAACTATCTATTATTATGGTTATTATTAATTAGGGCTAATGTTGAGGACGGCTGCCACAGCGTCTTTTGGGTGTTTATTATAGTTGCAGTGAATTAGGTTTTAGGTTAGGTTGAGGGATCGATTTAGGGTTCAGGTTCTAACGGTTAGGCATAGAGATCGATTGAGAGTTCAGGTTAGGCATAGGGATCGATTTAGGGATACATTCGTGAAATTCGATAAAATAGTGGCAGTCGTCCTTAACATTAACCATACTATTTAATGATATATTACCGAATTATGATAAAAGGTGGGGGACCTCTAAAACTTTAGCCAAAAGATAATACGCCTTCTTCTTCTCTCCGAATCCTGTGTTATTGAATAAAAATATTTTAACTTCCACTTCCGCTCAATGCTACCACTCATTTATGTTCAGAATTCCCCAGCTTTGTTCATAAAATCATACATTTAAGTTACAGTACATTACAGACAGGTACAGTAAAAATTTTAGCGTAAAACCTGAAAAAAAGATTTGACAGAATTTCCGTTCGATCAAATAACCGTCGATCAATTTACCGTTGACGAAATTTCTTTCGATCAAATTTCCGGATACGCTTACAGTTAGAAATGAGTTCCCTGAAACAACTTAACACAAGAAAAAGTTTGCAGTGACGTATCATGGGGGAAGGGTGTACAGTGTAGCAAGAATTGGGATTCTTAAAAATGTGGTACTTGAGTTCATGTTTTGTCAAATAACTTTTTTAGTACATGTGAAGTTCACGCATTGCTTCCACCAATGTTTGGCGGGCTATATCTAGTATTTAATATCATTTTAACTTTAAGTGACTTAAAACTCCGATGGTAACGTAACCATAACCTGAATTCCCAAGATCTGGGGAACTTTCTCAAAGTCTGGTAGCACTTCTTTCGTAGTCCAAATAATCCCTAACAAATGATCATGTGATCGTACTCTTTCATTTCGAGCAGTGCGAGGTAATTTCTGCAAATTACACGATTACATCTATATCTTTTTAGATTGTGGCATTTTCGCGGTTGCATTATAATTTTATAAAAGTTTCCAGATTGCCGAGAATTTACCAGCGTGTTCCCCCAGTGGTTACCAAATTTAAATGGTCACTAATTATTTAATTAGTAATTAAGTAATTATTGTCACTAATTAAATAACTCATAAAGTTGTTCGCATAAATCCTTTATAAAATTTAATATCCAGCAATGGGGGTGGGATTGAAAAATTATTCACCGTTATGAGAATACCAATTATTGCTTCGCCACTCTCCCCCCCCCCCCCCCCCGGCTCACAACAGCACATTTTTGTCACGTCCCTGAACTATAATAATATTCGAATGACCCACCCGATTTTACACCCCAAATTTATTTTACCAACTATTTCAGAAAATAAAAATAAGCAACTTAAAAACAGAAGGGAAAAAATATTTTGTGGGGTTGACGAGTGGGGCTGAAAATTTGATAGAATGTTCTGTCATCGACAACGAGTCTATGTGCCAAGTTTTAGCTCAACAGCTTGACGGAAAGTTGGTCAATTAGCTGCCCGGGAATTTTACCACTCAGCCACCTACGAATAAAAGCGAAGGTAATACAAAGGATTTTAAAAAGGAGTTCATTTATAGTTTATATCTACATTAGAGAAAAACTTTAGACTAGGGCTTATCATTAACTGGGTTCAGTTTTTTCACCGGGTCTGGGTATTTTGCGAAGATACCCGGTAGGTTCAAGTGTTACCAAAAAACAAAGCGTGTTACTATCACATTTTCTAACATATGTAACGAAATCTACCCACCCATGTCCAAGTCCATTGCCTTTATCTACCGTTTGTGTCAAGAAATAACCCACTGATAAGAACAGGCAGTTTCCCGGATCCCGAAATAGATATGACGTTGTACAAAAACCCGTGAACAGAGAAGATACTGTCTTCATTTTATACCAAAGACTTGCGAAACAACAGTCGCAGTATAACGAAAATAGCAATACCTTCCTGTATCAGGCTACAGAAAATGGTTACCGGAAATTTGATCGAAAGAAATTTCGTCGACGGTAAATTGATCGACGGTAATTTGATCGAACGGAAATTTGGTCGAATCTTTTTTTCCGTTCGCACGTTGAAATTTTCGTCAAATTTCTTTTTGAACGCACTATACTATTTAGTAAAA